TGGGTGGATCATGAGGTCAGGAGTTCGAGACCGGCCTGACCAACATGGCAAAACCCCGTCTCTACTTAAAAAAATACAAAAATTAACCAGGCATGGTGGCGTGCGCCTGTAATCCCAGCTACTTGGGAGGCTGAGGAAGGAGAATCTCTTGAACCCCAGAGGTGGAGGTTGCAGTGAGCTGAGATCGTGCCACTGTACTCCAGCTTGGGCAACAGAGCAAGACTCTGTCTCAAAAAATAAATAAATAAATAAAAAAGAATCATGGACATACATATTAATTGAAATGGAAGTGGATGAGATCACGGAAGAAAAGAGAGTCTCAGACTGAGTCCTAGAAACCAAACCATTTAAGGATTAGGTAGAGGAATTTTTGAAGACAAGAGCATCTCAAACCAAAGAGAATCACCAGTCACTTGGAAAGGAAGCCTGGGTGAGGGCCTGGGTTCTAGTTCCTCAAAGTCTGGATGTCTGTGGCTGGGCTGGAGACACAGTGGCTATCAGCAGAGATAGCTACATGGCTGAGGGGTAGAAGGCAATAACCCTGACATGACACTGCACTGAAACAGCAGGCTCCAAGCTGGAGCCCACTGGCATTAATCCTGAGAGGGTACTTACTGTTAGAAAAGTTATCTCCTTTTGGGACATGTGAAGACCTAGCTTAGGATCCTGGTCCTCCACTGAAAAGCTGTGTGGTTGTGGCCAAGTCACAACTAAATTTTGGGTTCTACATCTGTGAAATGTAGAATTGTCTTAGGGGTTAGCACCATGGTATAGTGTGAATCTAATCATAACAGTTTCTGAATGGTATCTTTCCTATGAGATTGCCTGGTCTGGGCCTGTAGGGGTACCTCAAAACTGGACAAACGAGAGGAGTCAACCCCTCTTCCCTCTCTCACTGACCAGTGCAACTTGGAACAAGGGACTATCCGGCCTTCTCCCCTTCCTGGTCATCAGGTGCTGGCCTGTGCCCACAGAACCTGTTTGCCTTCAAGGTGGAGACGGGTTTTTCTGCATTATCCCGCCCCAGTTTTTCAGCCTAGGGTGTGGCAGAACATGCACTGGACTGAGACTTTTTCTGCTAGATTAAAACACCCACCCGTGGTAAAGGGGAAGGCTGAAAAGGCGTCATAAGTGCATTAATTCCGTCTCTGAACAGTACACACCTTTCCAAAGCCATGCTTGGCGCTCACACCCACTACATACATCTAAGTTCCTCCCTGGCCATTCTGGAAACCTCCTGGAGAGGTCAGAGCTGTTTGTCTTAAAGTCTGTTCATTTTATTCCAATAACCTTACCCCCATTTAACTTTCTCCCCACTTCAAATCATTCCCAAATTTCCTGAAAGATGTATCTGCCAAGGAGAAAAGATTAGTTTTTAGGGGGCTTGAAGAAAACAACAAAATTCATTTAGTCATTCAGTCAACCTGCTCTGGACTCTCATGAGTGGGGCACAGATTGGGAGGAAACTGGTCATGTCCCTCTGTCCCTCCCTGGGGCTGCTCTCTTGCCCTCATTTGTTCTCAGATTTAATTAGTACTCCCAGCTCCTTTTAGTCCTTCACCCACCATGAAGTTGCCTGTGAGTCTTAGGGTTTTCCTAATCCTCTAGATATATCTTACCATCCCCATCAGAAACCTGCACTCAGTCCCTCCCCTTCTCTCTCTCTTCCTCCCACCTCCTTCCCCCTTCAAACTTCTCATCCAGCCACCTCCCCCATGTACATTAGTAAGAGGGACAAGGAGTCCGAGAGATGAGAGATGAACATTCTCACAGAATGTCACTAAGTCACCAAGCTATGAGGATGCTGTTTGGAATGAAACTATTCACATTTCTCTATCACCGTTAAGGCAGCTACTGTCTCCAGCAGCCATCAGCTAAGTGAATAGAGAAACACAAAGAATTTCACTGGAAACAACTGTAGTAGTTGGCAGGACTGTGGTTGCGGCTGGGACACAATCCCAAAGTCTGCTGTGAATGGCTAACTTTTTGTATCACACAGCCGGGGGGTCTGGGCTGCTCCATCACGCTGCTCTGCCATCTGCTTACTGCTGCTGTCGGTGCTGTCTTGGGGAATCACCTGAAACCGCAGTGGCTACAGACAACCTCTGAACCACTGGAGTCCCCTGCAGCGGTCACAGGGCAAGGAAGGTGTGTTTCCCTTCCACCTCAGCCTCCCTTCCTGAGATTACGAGGATCCTAAACAGTGGGCTACTTTTGGGGGTGTGTTGCCCCTTGAGCTAGGCATGCTGTCCCCATGACCTGGGGTCTCAGTAGTGGTCAGGACTCTATTGGCTATAAATGATGAAGTCCTTGTGTCCAGAGTGAGGCGGCCGGGACAGTGCGGCTCTACCTCCATCTCACTACTGAGAGACAAGGGCTGTCATGCTCTAGGAGAGCAGCATTCCTCCTGAGTAACAGTCAGAAAGGGGTGATCTGACACTCAGCTCTCTTTGTCAGTAAGTGGAGACAGGGAAAGGATCTAACTGCCTAGCCCTAGCCACTGGTGGAGTCACTTCACCGGAGTCCCATAGCGTCCCCCAAGAGTCAGGGCTGCTGAGGCCAGTGCCTCCTTTGCTGCATTCTTTGCTGTGGTGGCTCCTGGTCCCCACCCCAACCCCTCATATGTCGATTAGGGCACCCTGGAAAGGGAAGCAGCTGCCTGTGAATCCAGTATGCTGGAGGTCACTCCCAAAGTTTTTCCAGTAACAATTTGTAAGGTCAAAACAATAGGGGGCCACTTGATACCACCAAGAATTTGTCAGGAAACACTGAAAGAGAGACAGAGAGAGAGATCTTCCTATTTAGTTACCTAGAAATGCTAGCCATTCTAAAATTTTTACTTAAAAAGATAAAAAATGAACTGGTTATTTGGCAGTGGGCCATCCCAGAGAGCACTTTCTTCCTAGAGGCACTGAGTCCCTTTCCTCCTCCTGCTTCTCCTCTTATCAACTAGAGGCTGAAATTAACACCCACAGCTTCTGCTGGCTAAAAGCCTTAAAAACAACAACAAAAATCAAACAAGAGAGACTAATGCTTTAGGCAGCTACAACTCCAAGAAAAGCAGAGAAACTTTATTTATTTATTTATTTATTTATTTATTTATTTATTTATTTATTTAGCTCTGTTGCCCAGGCTGGAGTGCAGTGGTGCTACCGTGGCTCATTACAGCCTCAATCTCCCAGGCTCAGGCAACCCTCCCACCTCAGCTTCCCAAATAGCTGGGACTACAGCTGTGCACCACAACACCCGACTGATTTTTTTTTTTTTTTTTTTATAGAGAGGAGGTTTCACTATGTTGCCCAGGCTGGTTGCAAACTACAGGGCTCAAGCAATTCACCCACTTGAGCTTCCCAAAGTGCTGGGATTACAGATGTGAGCCACCGTGCCCAGCCTAGAACTTTAACTTCAGGTACTGAGCAAACAGCAAGTCTTGGAAACATAATGCTAGCCTTAGATTACTTAATGATTTATGAACAAACCCCTAGATACAGAGAAAAATAAAAGGTATGTATAAATTATAATAAATTATATAAAATATATATATGAATAAATGTACATAATGTAAACTATAATGTATATAAATAAATTATATACATATTTTAATATAAATATAATAAACAGGCTGTGTGTAATCCCAACACTTTGGGAGGCTGAGGTGGGTGGATCACCTGAGGTTATGAGTTTCAGACTGGCCTGGCCAACATGATGAAACCCCATCTCTGCTAAAAATACAAAAAAATTAGCTGGGCGTGGTGGTGCACGCCTGTAATTCCAGCTACTTAGGAGGCTGAGGCAGGAGAATGGCTTGAACCTAGAAGGCGGAAATTGCAGTGAGCCAAGTTCAAGCCACTGTACTCCAGCCTGGGTGACAAAGCAAGACTCTGTCTCAAATAAATAAATAAATAAACAAACATTATATATATGGCAAGTTGTGTATATGCTGTATTTTCCATAACTTGATTTAATTGGAAATTCAAGATTCCTAATTTATATACTAAAAATTTATGTAACAAAAAGATTAAAAACAGCACTTACTGGTTTTTGTGCCTCTACAACACAGTTTCTAACTTAACATTTGTGAAAATGCCCTAATTGTCAAAAATTCATGAACTTAATACTAGGGCTCAAGTTATACCTGGAGATCCCACTAATTTAAACACTCTGACCCTATAATCTTGAGAGGGTAACGACATATAAAAATTTTTAAATGAGTATGCCTCAATTTAAGTGTAGCCTTGCCTAAATTTCCCAGGCTCACATACCCACTGCTATTAGACATATTTGCTTTGACAAAATAAATAATAAATTAGATTGGGCATGGTGGCTTATGCCTGTAATCCCAGCGCTTAGGGAGACCAAGGCAGGAATATCTCTTGAGCCCAGGAGTTCAAGATCAACCTGGACAAAATGGCAAAACCCCATCTCAACAAAAAATACAAAAATTAACCATGTGTGATGGTGTGTGCCTACTCAGGAGGCTAAGATGGGAGGATCACCTGAGCCCAGGAGGCGGAGGTTGCAGTGAGCTGAGATAGTGCCCCTGCACTCCAGCCTGGGAGACAGAGTAAGACCCTGTTTCAATATTAATAATTATAATAAATTAAAATTAAAGTGCCTCTTTGGCATTTGCAAATTGACTTGATAAAATGGGACCCCATGAGCCCCCATTTTATAGTTAATATGGCCCAATATAAGTTAAAGCAAGCCGTTCAAGGATTAAAACTCATTATAAAAAACCTTATTTTTAAAAAGGGTGATTAACCCCTACTACTTCTCCATTTAGCAGCCCAATTTTGCCTATGCTCAAATCTAGAAATACATATATTTTTATGTATATACATCATTTTAATATATTTATATTTTTAAATATATGTATGTTTTAATATATAAAATGTAATATATATAAATATAATATAGATTTTATCTCTATTTTACATATATAAATGTTTATATATGGTAGCCTGTGATGGATCACTACAACTTAACATTGTGGTCCCATCCATTAGGGCCCCATACCTAATATTAAAATTAAACTGATTTTATTCAATCAACAACTAATAAATACTTTACTCTTACAGATGTGGCCAACCAGTTATGTTCTGTGCCTATTTCCACAGCCCTTCAGGCAGTTTGCCTCTGCCTCTGAAGGCACACAATACACTTTTCTGGGCAACTCACAGGGGGCCTCTACGTGAGGTCCATCATCACACACTGTCTTTACAGACAAGATGCACCTTCTCTAGGAGCACAGGTACAATACTGCACTGAGAACATCCTCCTCCAAGGAGATTCATTTGACCCACACTCTAAGGACATTTGAGCTTAAAGAGGAAGCAGGCAGTCACCGGTGGCTAAGGAAGCCTGTAGCTGCCCTCCCCCTCTTCACCCTACCCCTAAGGAGGAGGGGTGATGTCATGGATTGGTCAGATTCAAGAGGACTGAATGAAGCCACAGGCCTGGGGTGGAACCTCAGTGTGTGAAATAAAGGGGTTAAAGGCTAGGCTAGTCTCAGGCTGGGGATGGCTCCTGTCTATTTCTTCTCTCTCCAACACTACAGGTAAGATGGGGGCCTGGGCTTCTTCCTATTGGGAAGGAGGTGCATTTTTCCTTCTTTGCATTCCCCTCTCATCAGAGTGCCAAGCAAGAAACGCGGGAGGCCAAGCGGAGAGGAATGAGGACAGAATTGCCCCTACTGCACAGGTCCAGTGCAGACCCCAGGGCTCAGGGTTTCATGCTGAGGGTTGGGGCCAAGGCCCTAATACCTAATAAAACGTTTCTTTGCCTTTCTTGCTATACAAATATTCTGCTATACTAATATTCCTCCAGGAATGCCCTGGGATAGTAGGGGGTGGGTGGGTGGCCCAGGAATCTATGTTCCAGCCATCCATCTCTCAGCATCAAACCAGAGGAGGAAATGACCAAAGTAGTTCCTGGGAAAACAAGGGGCACAATTCCTGGCTGGGTGAGATGGCTACTTTGAGAGGCCATGGTGAGTGGATCACCTTAGGTCAGGAGTTTGAGACCTGTCTGGCCAACATGGTAAAACCCCATCTCTACTAAAAATATAAAAATTAGCTGGGCATGGTGGTGGACACCTGTAATGCCAGCTACTTGGGAGGCTGAGGCAGGAGAATCACTTGAACCCGGAAGCCTGAGGTTGCAGTGAGCCGAGAAAAAGAAAAAGAAGGGGGACTTCTAGGCAGAGTGAATTGTATTGCAAAGGCAGGATGTGTTAATATGTGTGGAGCAATAAACAGAGTGAGAACTGCCTGCAGTTAGAAGATCACAGAGGAATTTTATAAAGTTTATAAAGAGGAAGTTTATACCACACTGTGTGAGAAGGCTAGACTTCATCCATAAAAAGATGATCTCCTGTGTTAGCCAACTGCTAATGTTATTCCGGTGCTTACTACATGCCAGGCTCTGAATGCCTTACATGAATTAACTCATAATTCTGAGACACTGAGATAAAGGAGTTGTCCAAAGTCTCACCAACAAGCAACCTGAGGTTCAAAGGGGTGGAGTAAGTGGCAGATCTGTCCTCTTTACCAAATTGGCTACTCGACAGCTGTGACATCAACAAGGAGACAGGTTCTGTTGACCTGGACTTACCATGAGGTGACCTGGAGGAGGTGGTATTTGAGCTGAGTCCTGAGAGACAAGGGATCAGGGCCAGCAGAGGCTGGGAAAGTTTAAGGTGCATGGGCTCCAGGATGCCTGCAGACTGCTTTGAGAAACGAAGGGATCCAGCAAAAAGAATCCTAGAGATAAATGTCTAACACTTCACAGCAAGTCAAAGCCCTCGGGCTACACAGTGCAGCATCCAAGAACAGAGCTGAGCGAGCCAGCACCGCCCTGGGGAACAGCGCCTGGCCCAACACCTTTTCCTTTACATCAGAAGTTGGCAGTGATCCAAGATCTTCCATCCGTTTTATCAGAGTAAATGCAAATTTCTTTGAAACAAGATTTATTGTTACATTAAGAAGGAGATTATTTTTCTTTCCAGAAATGATGAGGGATGCTTAATTTTTTTAACTAGCATTTGTGTAGCACTTTAACATAAACAGAATTCTTTCCTTATTTCATTGAAAAATGAGTGTTAACTTTCTCAGTTTTTCAAATGAGGACATTGAAACCTAGGAGATTAACTCAGGAAAGAAACTGGGGCTCAAAGCCAGTTATTCAGACTCCAAATTCTGTTTTCATTCATTTTTTTATTCTTTCATTCATTGAAAAAAAAATACAAATGTGCCAGACACAGGACTATGCAGTGAGTAGATAGTTGAAGGTAAAAAAGACATAGCTTATCTTACAGACCCTCTTCTCACAGTGCCTCTAACACAGAAGCAGGAAGAAATAAAGAGCAATATACTATATAATACTCGGGTATTTCTAATCAGCACTCGGTGATTACATCCACACCTTTGCAAGGTTCTCACACTTGCATTTGTAGTTAATTGCTCCATTGTTTCGCTGAATGCCTGCTTTGTGCCCACTCTGGGCTTGATATTGTGTACAGACTGTAATATACAAGCAGTAGGGTTCAATCCGATAACACCTATGTGCAAACTACCTGGAAGTATTTATTGAGCACATACTCTTGGAAAAGCAGTCTTTGAGCAAATATTTATCAGTACCTTGATAATCCTAACAAATAATATTTACTGAATACTATGTGCCAAGGACCACAGTAAATTCTTTACACACATTATCATTTGGTCTTCACAGTAACTTTTCAGAGGCAAGTATTTGAGAGCTTAAGTCCCAACATGCTCAAAATCATGACACTAGAAAGCAGTGGCAGTGGAATTTGAATCCAGGCAGCCAGCATTTCCTACTACTCGGCTGTCCTAACCTCCTACCCTATGCAGGGCGCTGGTGACACAACAGTGAACACCGCTGTGATCCCTACCCTTAAAATGCTTACAGCCTAGGAGGGAAGATAACCTTTAAACAAATCATATGCTGAGAATGTCTAACAGGGTACCTGGTCTCCTCTGAGGTTCATTCAAGCTTCCCCAAGAATATGCCTTGTCAAGCAGACCCAGAGGCTGAGTTCTTAAGCAGACGGAGGGAGGGAGAAGTCAATCTATGAAGGGGAACAGCACAAGGAAAAGCTCCGAGGTAGGAAGAGGTCTGGCAGTCTGAGGCTCTCACTGGGCTGAGGGAAAGGCCAGGTGGATCACAGGGAAGCTAAGGAAAAGAGCATGAGGAGTGGCACATAAATCTACATAATTCAAAGGGAGGGGAGAGGTCAGCCGAGAACAAGACAGCGTGTAGAGGCGCCAGGCAGGACACTACTTCATGTGAGGCGGGGATGTTAAGTTTGGATCAGCCTGTTGATAGAGAGAATGGAAGCATGTTGATGAAAATTGCAGAAGAGAGAATCGTCAGGGCTTGGGTGGGGAAATGAGCGGAAGGAGGGAGTCAAGCAAGGTTTTTGGTTTGAACAACCCAGTGGATGGCAGCACTCCGGGACAGCTCGGGGGAGGAAGATGAGAGTTCAAGTCGCATCCAAGGTGGCTGTGGACAGCCACATGGAGCTGTTAAGTCAGGGCGCTGGATGGATGTGTGGCTCTGAAGCTCGGAGGTCCTAACAGTGAAGGAGATCATCTTGGACAAAGGTGAAATGAGTGTCTAAGACAGAGCCCTAGAGGCCTTCCACTATTAAAGGTTATTATTAGAGAGGTCAGGTGCGGTGGCTCACACCTGTAATCCCAGCACTTTGGGAAGCCAAGGCAGGAGGATCACTTAAGTCCAAGAGTTTGAGAGCAGCCTGGACAACATGGCAAGACTCTGTTTCTACAACAAATAGAAAAAATGAGCCAAGCACTGTGACACAGGCCTGTGGTCCCAGCAATTTGGGAGGCTGAGGTGGGAGGATCACCTGAGCCTGGGAAGTGCAGGCTGCAGTGAGCCACGATCACACCACTGCATTCCAGCCTGGGTTACCCAGTGAGACCGTGACTCAAAAAAAAAAAAAAAAGAAGTAGGAAGAAGAAGGAAAGAGGAAGATTAGGAAGAAGAGTGAGGTGAGAAGAAGGAGGAGGGGGAGGAAAGGAGGAGGGGAGGAGGGGAAGGAAGAGCAGAAGGGGGAGGAGGCTGTTATTAGAGAGGGGGAACTGAGCAAAGGGAACTGAGAAACATGGTCAAAAAGAAAGGAGGAAAGTCAGGAGAGTGTGGCGACTGTTTTAAGGAGAGAGTGGGAGCAAGGCACAGTGGCTCATGCCTGTAATCCCAGCACTTTGGGGGGCTGAGGTGGGAGGATCACTTGAACCCAGGAGTTCAAGACCAGACGGAGCAATATAGTGGGAACCTGTCTACACACACACACACACACACACACAAATTACCCAGGTGTAGTGGCGCGCTCCCGTAGAGCACCTCAACTACTCCAAAAGCTGAAGTGGGAGGACTGCTTAAGCCTAGGTGGTCAAGGTTGCAGTGAGTCATGATGGTGTCACTGCACTCCAGCCTGAGTGACACAGTAAGACCCTGTCTCAAATAAATAAATAAATAGCCAATGGTCTGAGATGCAGAACCTGAAGTGACTGAATTTTTAGCAGGGCACAGTTAAATACGAGAAAGATTGTTCTGACCTGGGATTCATCCTGGGGGTCTTCATGAAGGCCAGACCTGAGGTGCACCTAGGCAGGCTACATACAAGAGAGGGCCTGAAAGTGAATGTTTGGGAACAGCAAATAATACCAGCAGGTAGAATGAGGAGGCAGAGCTAGAGGATGCTGTGGAGGTCATCTCACCCATGAGGTCATATCACCTGTGTCACCCAGTCACTGGCCACTTCATGCTCATTTCATGCTCACAACAGCCCTGCAGTAGGAATTCACTAACCCTGTGTCACAGATGAGAACACTCAGACCCAACCATCGGAATTGACTGTTCAGACGGTGCAGATGGAAGTGGGGAAGGCAGAATTTGGCTTTGGGTCTGAGTCCAGTGCTATCACCTTATGCTTCCTTGACTCGGGTGGCAACGAAGGGAAGAGATTAGAGAGGATACGGGCTGGACAGAAGTGGAGAAGAGGCAACAAGTGAGAGAGAGGTAGGGTGCAGAATCAACAAGATGCAGAGAGCAGGTAGCAGCTGAGAAGGACAAGGCAGAAGGCTGGGGTTTCTGGCTGGAGTAGTCAGGTGAACGGAGGTGGGAATAGCAGGGTATGGGTTCAGGGGAAGAATGGAGACTCAGACGATGAGTCCACTGGGCCTACGTGACGGGTTGTGGGGCGGTGTTGTCAGGAGGCAAAGGGAGACACAGATGTGAAGGTCACAGGAACGGTCCAGAGTGTGGGAGACCAGAGACCATCAGTGTAATCTTGGATTTTGGTTCCTTTTTACCACTTAACAGCAGAGTTGAGAAGGGGCTGGAGCTGGGTTCTGGGAGAGAAGTGACAGGGCACGGGTGGCGTCCCGCCGGTGTCAGAGACGACTTCCGGCTCACCTCTGACTCGGTTTCCCCCACAGATGGCTTTTCCCTGCCGCAGGTCCCTGACTCCCAAGACTCTGGCCTGCCTCCTGGTGGGCGTGAGTTTCTTGGCACTGCAGCAGTGGTTCCTCCAGGCTCCAAGGTCCCCGCGGGAGGAGAGGTCCCTGCTGGAGGAGAGGTCCCAGCAGGAGGAGACGCCAGAGGGTCCCACCGACGCTCCCTTGGCGCTCACCCCCGGGCCCCCGTGCGTGGCCAACGCCTCGGCGAACGCCACGGCCAACTTCGAGCAGCTGCCCGCGCGCATCCAGGACTTCCTGCGGTACCGCCACTGCCGCCACTTCCCGCTGCTTTGGGACGCACCGGCCAAGTGCGCCAGCCGCCGCGGTGTCTTTCTGCTACTGGCCGTGAAGTCGGCGCCTGCGCACTACGAGCGACGCGAGCTCATCCGGCGCACTTGGGGGCAGGAACGCAGCTACGGCGAGTGGCCAGTGCGCCGCCTCTTCCTACTGGGCACCCCCGGTCCCGAGGACGAGGCGCGCGCCGAGCGGCTGGCGGAGCTGGTGGCGCTGGAGGCGCGCGAGCACGGCGACGTGCTGCAGTGGTCCTTCGCGGACACCTTCCTCAACCTCACGCTCAAGCACCTGCACCTGCTCGACTGGCTGGCTGCGCGCTGTCCGCACGCACGCTTCCTGCTCAGTGGCGACGACGACGTGTTCGTGCACACCGCCAACGTAGTCCGCTTCCTGCAGGCGCAGCCACCGGGCCGCCACCTGTTCACCGGCCAGCTCATGGAGGGCTCCGTGCCCATCCGCGACAGCTGGAGCAAGTACTTCGTGCCCCCGCAGCTCTTCTCCGGGTCCGCTTACCCGGTATACTGCAGCGGCGGCGGCTTCCTCCTGTCCAGCCTCACGGCCCGGGCCCTGCGCGCGGCCGCCCTCCGCACCCCGCTCTTGCCCATCGACGACGCCTACATGGGCATGTGTCTGGAGCGCGCCGGCCTGGCGCCCAGCGGCCACGAGGGCATCCGGCCCTTCGGCGTGCAGCTGCCTGGCGCGCAGCAGTCCTCCTTCGACCCCTGCATGTACCGCGAGCTGCTGCTGGTGCACCGCTTCGCGCCCTATGAGATGCTGCTCATGTGGAAGGCGCTGCACAGCCCCACGCTCAGCTGTGACCGGGGACACCGGGTCTCCTGAGGCCGGGTGGACGGCTTCAGCCCCGGGCCTCCACCCGTGACGGTGTCCATGCTGAGAAGGCAGCTTTCCCGCCCTGGGTACCATACGTCCTGCCCAGCTCTGTGCACCTGAACCCCAGCTGCGCACTGAAATCAGCTGGGGTGGGGGGTGTGGAAAATGCCTACATCCTGGCTCCATCTCCCGAAGTTTCTATTTGATTAGTCTGGGGTGGCCCCAGACATGTTAAGGATTTTTTAAGTTCCTCCGGTGATGTGAATGTGCGGCTAGGCCTGAGGACCGCTCGGCTAGACTGTTCATCCTCGAAAACCCAGCTCCACTGCCCTCTCTGCAAGCCTTCCCAGGCACCTCGTTCCCACACTCGGGTCCTCGTGAGCAGTGAAGCAAGGGAGACCTGGGAGCGTGGGAGCCAGGATCAGCGTCCCCTGCCTTGTGCCTACAAATGTCAGTTGCCATTTCCACTGTTTCCCCTACAAGTGAGTGGAGCTGGGCTGACAGTGGTCAGGAGGATCCCGCTTCCCCCTCCCGCCAGAAGTCAGCCAACATGCAACTGAGGCGCATGTGGCGGCCTTCCTTCCTCCCACTACTGCCCCAGTACACCGTGAGGTAGAAATCCTCACCGTGCAAAGTGGAAACCAGAGGCCTGGTCAGACAGTGACTAATCCAGGGCCATGGCGTTCCCAGACAGCACACCATTGTGGTCCCCTCCAGGAACTCACCCCAACCAAAGCTAATGGCCTGGTTGGGTACTGCCCGCCAATACTCACCCCCATGGGTCAGAGACAGGCTCCTTGCCAGGGTCTGGAACTTAGGGTCAGTGGGCCTTGGACAACCCAGCAGGGAGTTCCATGGAGTCCGAAGTGGAGAAACGCTGATGGGAACATGGAGACCATTGTTGGGGAATCTGTGGAGGCAGGTGTGTAGAATTGTGTTGGGGAGGTGGGGGATGTAAGACTGAGGTGGACAGTGGTTAAGAGTGTGGGGCCAGGTGAGAAGGCTCACGCCTGTAATCCTAGCACTTTGGGAGGCCAAGGCGGGCAGATCACGAGGTCAAGAGTTCGAGAGCAGCCTGGCCAATATGGTGAAACCCCGTCTCTACTAAGAATACAAAAATTAGCTGGCCGTAGTGGCTCATGCCTGTAATCTCAGCTATTTGGGAGGCTAAGCCAGGAGAATCGCTTGAACCTGGGAGGCAGAGGTTGCAGTGAGCCAAGATCGTGCCACTGCACTCCAGCCTGGGCGACAGAGCAAGACTCCATCTCAAAAAGAGAGAGAGTTTGCAGGGGTGAGTGGGAACTTGGTGCCTGGGACTCTGAGAACCAGGCTGTGGTCCTGACCTCCAGCAGCTGCCAGTCATCTTGGCAACATAGAAAATCAAGGAAACGGCCTATGGGCAGGCAGAAGTGTGTCAGCAATGTCCCAACTATGTAAGATGGACACAAGAGACTCACCTTGGGAGGAAGGAGCCTGGGCAGAAAGTCAGGAGACTGGCCAAAGGTCCTTCCCTGCCTTCAAGACAAAGACCAGACTCCTCAGTCCTGCATTTCAGGCTCCTGTCACCCAGGTGCTACTCACTGTCCCCTCCCTCCCACTGTTGGCCTCCATCCAGCTGGCAGTGCCTGCGCTTTGTCCAGCTCTCTCCTGCTTCTGCATTTTGCACAAGCTCTGAACTGGTTACCGAAATGTCCTCCAATCACCACCATCCTGATGTCTCTTGCACCAGTTAGGATGCCCATAGGGGAAGCTGCCAGCTGCCCACCTGAGTCGGCTGCCCCCTTCCTCCTGGGCACTCACCTAGACTCCATTTCCCAGCACCCTGTCCCCTGCAGTTAGATGTGGCCCTATGACTAGGCCCTCATGGATGGGGGGGAATGGATGAGGAGGATCACTGTGGCACCTGGGCCTGACTATGCGCTCTTCCTCCTTCCCATTTGCTGGAACATGGCTGGGCCTGGGACCCAGCTCTGACTTTGCAAGTGAGGACAACACTCCAGGCCCAAGTGGAAGTTTCTCAACTACTGACATTTGGGGCAGGACAGTTCTTTGTTGTGGGGGGCAGTCCCGTGCATTGTGAAACATTCAGCAGCATCCGTGTCCTCCACTCACTAGATACCAGTGTCACAACCCGAGTCATGACACCCAAAGTATCTTCAGATGTTGCCAAACGTACCCTGGTGGGCAAATTCACCCTAGTAGAGAACCACTGGCCTAGAGGAAGGCAGAGAAACGAGGATTCCTGAGTTCCTGAGAGCAGCCCGGGGACCAACCTGGAATACTCAGCTAAGACTACTGAGGAAGACAAAATAAATTTTTATGCTTTAAAAAAAAATTATGGACATGACAATATAGACAAAAATGTTTATGATTTTTGAGCCTCTGAGATTTGTCTACTCTGCTACAGCAGCCTTGCCCTGCTAGTATTTTAGTCTGTTCAGGCTGCTGTAACAAAAATACCATAAACTGAGTGTCTTACAAGCAACATCTCTGGAAGTTCTGGAGGCTGGGAAGTCTAAGGTCAAGGTCCCGGCAGGTTTGGTGTCTGGCGAGGGCCCATCCCTCACTGCCTTCTTGCTGTGTCCCTGCATGGTGGAAGGGGCAGGCGAGCTCCCACGGCCTCTTTTACAGCGGCCCAGATTCACCTCGTCACCTTCAGGGCTAGGATTTCAACGTAAGAATTCCAGGGAAACAGCCCTGCGCGGTGGCTCAAGCCTGTAATCCCAGCACTTTTGGGAGGCCAAGACGGGTGGATCACGAGGTCAGGAGATCGAGACCATCCTGGCTAACACGGTGAAACCCCGTCTCTACTAAAAAATACAAAAAAATTAGCCGGGCGAGGTGGCTGGCGCCTGTAGTCCCAGCTACTCGGGAGGCTGAGGCAGGAGAATGGCGTGAACCCGGGAGGCGGAGCTTGCAGTGAGCTGAGATCCGGCCACTGCACTCCAGCCTGGGCGACAGAGTGAGACTCCGTCTCAAAAAAAAAAAAAAAAGAATTCCGGGGAAACATAAACATTCCATTCCGACCATAGCACTTAAGTCACCTGCTGTGTCCTGTTTCATCCCTTGTTTCTCACCAAGGAGACTGGCTACTCCCACAGGGAGAGGCCATGTCTGATTTACATCAGTGCTGTCACAGATTCACGCAGAGGGAACCCGTGGCAAGTCCAATCACTCGCACTCCGGAAACTTGAGCATGTTGTCTCACCTCTCTGAGCCGCTCTTTCTGCTGTGATTTGGCTCTGTTTCCCCACCCAGGTCTCATCTTGAATTGTAATTCCCACATGTCCGGGGACGGACACGTAGGATTGGACAGGCAGGAGGTGACTGGATCATGGGGCCGGTTTCCCCCACGTTCTTGTCGTGATAGTGAGTTCTCACGAGAGGTGATGGTTTTAAAGCGCGGCACTTCCTTGTTCTCGCACACACTCCCTCCTGCTGCCTGTGAAGGTGCCTGCTATCCCTTTGCCTTCTGCCATGCTTGTTTCCTGAGGCCTCCTGGCCATGCTTCCTGTTAAACCTGAAGAACTGTGAATCAAATAAACCTCTTTCCTTTATAATTACCCAGTCTCAGGTAGTATTCTTTATAGGAGTGTGAAAATGGACTAATACACTTTCCATGGCGATGTTCCATGCCAGGGCCATGTAAATCCTCTGTAAACCACATAGGAGGGCACTGTCATTCTGCAGGCTTACTGGCAGCTCTGAGAGGTTGAAGGAAACAGGAGGAGGTGGCAGTCCGTGACCTTTCTGCAGCCCTTGCTGTGGACCTTCAGTAGCCACAGCCACTTGTCCCTTGCTGGTCTATTTTCTGAGCAGGCCATAATGAATACTCCTAAATGCTTTAGGGATGAGTGGATGAGTGGATGAGTGCCATCTGTCCCAGTGGTGTGGACTGTGTCTGTTAGGATAGTAGTCCCCAACCTTTTTGGCACCAAGGACTGGTTTTGTGGAAGACAGTATTTCCACAGACCAATGTGGGGGATGGTTTGGGGAAGATTCAAGTGCATTACATTTACTGTGCACTTTATTTCTATTATTATTACACGGTAATATATAATGAAATAATTATACAACTCACCATAATGTAAAATCAGTGGAAACCCTGAGCTTATTTTCCTGCAACTAGACAGTCCCATGGGGGGGGATGGGAGACAGTGATAGATTATCAGGCAGTAGATTCTCATAAGGAGCACACAACCTAGATCCCTCGCATGCGCAATTCACAATAGTGTTCATGCTACTATGAGAATCTAATGCTGTGGTTGATCTGACAGGAGGCGGAGCTGAGGTGGGAGTGCACGCGATGGGGAGCAGCTATAAATACAAATGAAGCTTTGCTCACCTGCCTCTGTACAGCCCGGTTCCTAACAGGCCACAATCAATACCAGTCATTGGCCCCGGGGGTTGGGGACCCCTGTGTTAGGATACTGTGCTAGTTCCCTATTGCTGCTGTAACAAATCCCACAAGCTTGGCTTAAAAGCACACCCATCTGTTACCCTACAGTTCTACCAGCCAACTGCACTCCTTACTGGAGGTGCGAGGAAAGGATCCATTTCTTTGCCTTTTCCAGCTTGCAGAGATCCCCTTCTTCCATCTTCAAAACCGATCATGTGGCACCTCTCCGTGCCTTGCTTCCACAGCCACATCACTCTCTGACTCTCCTGCCTTCTCCTTCCACTTCCAAGGACCCTGTAACTACACTGGGCCTACCTAGATAACCTGGGATTCTCTTCCTATCTTAAAGTCAGCTGATGAGCAACCCTCATTCTACCTCCAACCTTACTTCCCTTTGCCATATAACATGGTGAAACAGTCACAGGTTCCAGGTATTCAGTAGGGTATGGGCAACTTTTTGGGGGGCCGTTATTATGCCCCCCACGGTACCCAATCAATATTTGTGGAATAGATCAACAATAATGAAATAATGCACAAAAATGAATCAATAAACAAGGGTGCTTCTTCCACACAGACCTCTGTGATGCGAGCTCTCATTCTGGACTACTGAGTGTCATTAATTCTGAATTCCCTGCCCCTAGTTGCCATTTGTCAAGGGCTTACAAGAGACAGGAAAACAGGAATGCTGAGGCCGGAATGCGGACGGGTTCTCTGGAAGGTCTGAATTGTGCTTTGACACAAAATCACACACAAAATTTCCCTGACAGACAGGCAGATTATCCCCATTGTGCTCCTAGAGATGAAGATTCAGAACCTTGCCGGCCCCGAGACTCGGGAAGCCGCCGTTACGGGTCGGCTGGGTGACTCTGAGTCCCGGCCACCCGGTGTCTGAAGCTGGGTTGCACGCATGTCCAGGCCCACGGAAGGTTGCAGTGCCCGCTCAGCACCGGCATCACCTGGCGCCACCTGGCGCATCGCTCACCACGGCCCTGGACCGGCGCTCCCCGCCCCTCTCATTCGGCTCATGCAACCCGCGGCCGCCAGGGGGCGCGCCCCGCACCTCGCATCCCGCACACACGCGGACTCAGCGGAGCAACCCCGGAGCGCGATCTCCCAACGCCCCTTGTGAGGCCAGCATGACTTTGACACTCAAACCCCTCAAGGACCCCACGAGCAGGGAAGATGAAGTGCCTGTCTCAGGAACCTAGATGGAAACAAAAATCCTACACAAAATGCTAGCAGACAAAATGCGGTGACATGTAAAAAGGAGAATCTATCAGGACGGAAGTGCGTTTATCCCAGAAATTTCAGAGGGACTTAGCATTAGAAAAACAGCAAACTACATAAATAAGACAGGAAGATCCGTCAATGACGTACGTTACATCAAGAGAAATATGAGCATTTCAGAGGGAGTGGGAGAGACGTTTATTAAAATTCAACATCCATTAGTGATTTTAAAGAAAATCTTAGAAAGCGGTGACAGCGTTTGACAGCATTTTGCTTAAAGTTAGGAGCAAGATGAGATATGCCCATCATCACTACTTCTGTTCAGAATTGTCCAGAACTTGAGAGCACACCAAGACAAGAAAAGATACATAAATATAATAATTGGAAATAGAGGAAGAATTTTTTCAAAATCTCAGAAGTTTAGAACCCTATCAGATCCAACTTCCCTTTCTGTAACAAATCAATGCCACTCTCTCCATCCTAAAATGAAATGCTTGCCGCCGCCGCGGTGGCTCAAGCCTGTAAATCCCAGCACTTGAGGAGGCCGAGACGGGCGAGCATGCACGCAGGTCAGGAGATCGAGACCACTATCCTGGCTAACCCAGGGTGACCCCGTCTCTACTAAAAATAAAAAAACTAGCCGGCGCGAGGTGGCGGGCGCGTTGTAGTCCCAGCTACTCGGGGAGGCTGAGGCAGCAGAACGGAGTAAACCCGGGAGGCGGAGCTTTGCAGTGAACTGAAATCCAGCCACTGCCTCCAGCCTTCTGGTGCGACAGAGCGAGACTCCGTCTCAAAAAAAATAAAAATAAAATAAAAAAATAAAAATAAATAAAAATAAAATGAAATGCTTAGGTAATATAACACCTCCACACATATATTTTCCAAAAAGCCAATATAGTGCTTTGGTTTGTTTTGTTTTGTTTTTTTGAGACAAAGTCTCGCTTTGTCGCCCAGGCTGGAGTGCAGTGGCGCGATCTCAGATCACTTTGCAAGCTCCGCCTCCCGGGTTCACGCCATTCTCCTACCTCAGCCTCCTGAGTAGCTGGACTACATGCGCCCGCCACCACGCCCGGCTTTTTTTTTTTTTTTTTTTTTTTTTTTCAGTAGAGACGGGTTTCACCGTGTTTGGATGGCTCGTTTGCTGACCTCTTGATCCACCCGCCTCAGCCTCCCAAAGTGCTGGGATTACAGGCGTGAGCCA